AGAAAAAAAAAATTAAGTGCCTCTCAGGACTCTCTTAAAAGCAGCAAAAAAAGTACATGAGAACACCTTTCTACTCTTTTCCAGGCTACCTTCAAAGATACGTGAATAATTTCCTGCCTAGTATTCCTCAACTATAAGGACTGTGGCTGTAGCAAATGCTCATATAGGTACAACAGAACATGAGGTGTGGAATGAAAGTCTGGTTTTAAGAGAACTGTGACTTAGGGAAACATCAAAGGAGACCGTAGCCTGCTGTACAGAATAATACTTAAAGCACTGCCTATACGTCTGTAAGACTTTCAGGTTTTAGTATTAATTTAATTGTGTCCTTGAGGAACAAGTTTGTTTCTCTCTTTATATAAAGAAAAATGCTTCAGCACGGCAAAAATGAAAAGAGGTCCAGTTCAAGCAACACTAATACCAGCATCATTATGTAAACAAAAACCAGCCTTCCAGAGGTGGGGATCTACCATCCACTGAAATGAACAGGACATCTACTGATTCCTTTGCCCACAGAAAAACTTAGTGGACTTCAGCCAATCTTATTCATAATCATATCCACTTTCAAAAGAAAACAGCAATATTTGTACTTCATTCAATACAAATAAATTATACTCACAATATGGTTACATTTTCAAAACAGATATCTGTTATTGCTTTGTCCACAATAGCCACTTCTGTATCAAAAACCTCAGCTCCCATTCTGAACAAACAAAAAACTGCATAGCGCTGAGATTCTGGAGAGAGCCAAAGAAATGTTTTATTAGCCATATTACACATCACAATACTAAATGTTTCCAGTAAACAAAAGTAGAATAAATGGTAATTCAGACCCCTAAGGAATTGCCCTCAAATTCTTCCCACCATAAATTTTATATCATAGGATTTTATGATAATTGAACTATCAAACCTGCTGTTTAGGCAGAACAACATTTGCAGAAGGAAAAATGCCTACCTCTGCTCATTTTTTTTTTTCTGATGATTATCAGGGTAGTTAGTGCTAGCAACTTCAGAAATGTTAGTAAAAACACAATTTTGTTTAATAAAACTGACTGTAAGCAAAAAACCCGAAACATTTGATCCAAAGCCTGTATCATTTTATGAATGTACTATATAGGATTAGACTATTTTGCCACGCTTAGCCCCTCTGACCCTATTGAAAATCAAAGTGAAATCAATGCCAGGTGACAGCTGGAATAGATTTAGGGTTAATCTCCATGACACAGCAAAACGCATGTACTTGAAGACTATCCAATAATACACTCAACGCCCACAGACAACTTTCATTTAAATTTCTCACTGGAAACAGCCTCCAACATACTCTCTCAAGTGTAGACAAGACATACAACAACATGTTTAATCAGAAGTTGCTCATCTATCCATTTGATAGCAACACTTTTCTGTTGCTTCCTCTGGAATTTATCCTCAAAAGGACTTTTTAGAGACTAGGGTTTAAACATACAGAACCACAGGACCTTGAATCAACTTAATTTGCTACAGCCAACGACTTCCAGTTAAGAGCAGCTATGTAACCTGCTAAAAGGTCAAAGAAGGAGCTGAAACGAGCATGGAATTCCCCATCCAGTTTATATTTGTAAGCATAAGCAATTGCTTATCACAGTAGTTCATTACATCTCACATACTTTCTTTATTGCTGAAGTGATCAGAGTCTTTCCACATTAATGGTATTCGAATATCTAAAGGGGAAAAAAAGAAGTAGAAAATCAAGTTAGAGCCAACACTGTAAATCTATGAGGAAAACAAATTACAAAAAGTTTCTTGTTTCCTTTCCTGATGTTGGGGAGGTAACAGGACCTTGTACCCAAAGAACAGCATAACTATTTCAATTTTATTATCCATGCCAAAAGAAAATTCATCAATTAGTTCAGCTTGAAGTGTCATTTATTTTAGAAATTACACTAGGATAAAGAATATTTTAAACCTCATTAGAAAGTACCTGAATTAACATTTCAGAGCGTCTGTGTAACATATTTTTGAGAGGTATTCTCAGAACTCAGAGGTTCTGAGCCCATTATTATGTACAGATGTAAAGTGAAACTCTGCTTGCCTTGTCCTGGAAACCACTCATACAACTGCAAGCAAAACTTCCTGTATTAATGGAAAGACTGGGATACTTATACTGAAAACACTTAAGTCTTGTTTTGCTAACCACAGAGAAAATATCACTTGTAATCACATTCCCTGTTTGAATTGTCTTAGCTGGCATAAAAAGGAGTTTAGAAATCTTTTTTTTTTTAAAACTCAAAAATATCCTTTTACTTCAGAACCATAGTAGAGATTACAGAACAATTACAGCAATTACAGAACCATTATTTTAAGTCATGCCTGTCATTTTAATATTAGGAAAGTATTTTCTTCAACAAATTTTCCCATTTATCTACTTGATCCAACACAGTACTGATTGACATTTTCCTCCAGTTTCGAGGACTCAGGTTTAACAAAGAACTAATAAGAAGCATTATGTCTAAAAGACAAACAGAGTGTGGGCTTTATAAATCCAAACTTGGTTTCTTAAGTACAGCACAGTGCTGTTTAAAAGTATATGCAATATATTAAGTGACACATGATGGCAGCAGTGAACAGCATTAGCTCAATTGCCTTTTGATATAGATCTTCAATATTGCTATAAAGAGGCACTGCTGACTCCTGTGTTGATCTTCATATGAGGCTGATGGAAAAATCCACATATAGTACGCTAAGATGCAAAACAGTAGTGGTACTTTGCCGACAGACTGTCACGTATTCCTACAGGGTTTTACCCACAAAACTTCCTGTTAAGCAAAACTGCATATAGTCATTCTATTTCAGAAGTTATATTAAATGAAAAATTTAAATTTAAGTTAATTGTGATTACATTACGGAACATCTTATTAAACATGCTATTTCAGTTTTGAAACTTGCAAATTAATCTAGTTTTAAGTGTTCATGAAAACTAATGACTTTTCAACAGCGAAATGCCACTGTACGTTTTTAGACTGCCACAACTTCCTAAAAATCAATACGCCATCGCATTCTGAAACTGCCTTTCACTTCTAAAGATGCATTTGCATAGTAAGCATTTCTAAAAGTATTTTTTTAAAATAAGGAACCAGAAATAGTTTCATTAAAACAGTTACAGAAGTCTCTCTCAAACTTCAAAAATATTTATGTCTGTCAGAGACAAAGCACAGAATGTTTTTCCTAAAAGGCAAAGGGCTTAAATTAACATAAATATGTGAAAATAGAATTACAACAAAAACATTTTTTCCATCTTTAATCATAGCAAACTCTGAATGACAATTTTAATGTGCCCAATAGGTCTTGTTAACAATTAGAGTACTAAAGATTACTTCTGTATCCCACTTTCAATATCATGCTAGCTGAAAAATTTACACCTTAGCCACAAAATCATCAGGATATAGATAGTCAATCCCTTAAACAAGTTTAGCACGATACTTGTAAGTCAGCTTTCAATTCATTCTTGGATTGAAAGAGCTGCCACTTATCAAAAATAAAGATCAATTTTCACACACCTTAATTTCAGCTACTATTAGCTGTAAATCCGTGTGGATTCAAATTAGATACATTCATGCACTACAATTAATCAGATTTAAAGCCAATGATTCCTTTATAAAATTACTTTAAATTATGATTATGCTTTTTGATCAACATTTAATGTATTGTCTTCTGACATAATAATTGATAAGAAAACATAAATTAAATCATTTATTCACACACGCAAAGGATAAATAAGTAAAAATAATAGAAGCATGAAAATCTGTGTATTAAGATTAAGGCACTCCCCACACAGTATCTAACATACAGTTGCTTTCTGTAGGAGTACATTCCTCAGTACTCCTGCGTAGCTGTTCCTGAACTTTTGGTGTTGGCCACACAATCGCACTTTTTTTTTGGTAATAGTCTAAGCTTCTGGCACGTACTAACCAAATGAAATGCTAATATATCCATAAGTGGATGGATTAATTTCTCCTAAAAAATCCATTCTGTATCTTCAGTTCTTAAATTACGTGCCCTGTCACATTACAGGGACTACTACTCACTCCTCGATTCCAGCCTCTCCCAGACAATTCAGTCACAACATCTCACGCTGCTTGTATTCACAACTGCATTCTCTCCAAGGCAGGCACAAGCACACGCAGGCGTGCCTTCCAAACATACAGGGCAACTCCGGTTGCAAATCCATGGAAGGTCGGCATACAAGAGAGAAGAAATGCAGCGTGCCTGATTTGCTACACAAGGATTGGGAAAGACAGGGAAAGAAGAATAACAGATGTGAACATACTGCAGCTGGGAAAACAGACAAGACCTGATTCAGCACATGGACACAGGCTAAATGGTCAGAGGACAACACAGGGAGGACCTAGGGAGGCATGTGCTAATGTCATCTCAGCATCTCCCAATCATGTATCTTGCCGAGGGGCTCCTACCCCTGCCAAGCACAAGCAAGCCCGTCCCCTGACCATTACTTCTCATGTACCCCATCTCTCTGCTTCTCAGGCACACACAGTGGAAAATAAGGAGATAATAACAGGTGATCTACAGAAAGCATAAATCTCTCAGCAGAGGCCAAAAAGAACCCTTAGGCTTTCCTGCTGTAGACTGGACCTGGCTAGGCTTCCTGACACGAGGGGTGAGGCATGGCAGCACAAGGTAGTTGACGCCTCTTTCTCTCCTCCCCCTCGATCTATGCCATATTTCTGAGGATCATAACTCCAGTTTGAGAATCACTATGTTAGTAACAGGACAGAATCATTAACAGATGACACAGTGGTGTATTTCACCCTTTTATTCTCTTGTCCCATCAAAAGAAACTAGATGAATGTTTCACATCCTAAACAAATTTTTCAAACTAAAGATACAGTCCTTACACAATTCTGATTTTCTAAAGAAAACAAAAGAATATTATATGATCTTAAAGTCTTCACTGCAGATGACTCTATAAATCCAAAGAAAGGTGCAACCACAGCACAGACAGGCAAACAGATGCTTTCATCCAACTACCATAAGGAGGAAAGACAGATACACATTCTGCAAACAGCTGTGCTGGCAGAAAACATTACTGAACCATGTGCTCATCACTCTTCCTCTACTAGGAGTTACCTTGCTTAAAGATATGTCAAAATATGCAGAATTAACATAAACAGTTTAAGTAGTGAGCCCTTCTACATTATTTTATTTTTAATGAAGCAGGTCAGGGAGCACAAACAGATCTGAAAAAAGATCTAGAAAAGTAGCAGAACAGCCACAATGAACAACTACAGGAATGCTGAACACAGTAACATCCACTGTTGGCACAGACAAACAAAACGATGAATTCATAATACTGAAGTTTGAGAACTGGTTAGGAAATAGTGTACCATCGGAAATCACTGTAAAATATTCTTGTTACTAGTTTGCATTGAAGCCATACCACTATACCTTTGCTGTAGTAAAGTAATGTGCATTAACTAAATAATACTTGCATACTAGTTATAATTCTGTCCTCAATTTATTAGGCATACCCTGGTTGATCACATCAAAGTTTGGTTTTGTGGGGAGGAAAAAAAGTTATCAGCACATTGACACCTATTTAGCTTTGAAATGTATTCAGGGTTTAGTGACAAAGAGTAAAAAAGTATTTCCCACTGTAAAAGTCCCTCAAAGTAAAATGGAAACTCTAGGTAGGATCCTCAAAAGCATGTGACTTAAAGCACAAGTCTCCTTGAAGCACAAGAGGATTTATGCCCCTGAACCACATACACTCTTCAAAAATACCCGTCTTGTCTGTATAATTTGTATTACAAGTTACTGTCCAGCCAATTAGCTCCTATGATTGATTACCCAGCCACTTACCTGTTAGAGCAACCTTTGCTCTGCATGCCACCCGGTCTTTTGACCCGTTTTCTGAAGACCTGCTAAAAAGAAGAGGAAAAACAATGTTTGAGATCTGTGTGTTTAGACTTCTAAAACTCAACTCTTTAAGCATTAAAAAGTGTCACAGTTTTCATATTATAGCTCATTTCAAATGTTTTTCTTTAAAGTTAAATTTGGTATTTCTGGTTTAAGATGCGAGTCGTCAGATTCTTGAGGATAATCTGGAAGGAAGGTACACCATCGATTTTCTTAATTCTCTAGAAGATTTTACTCCAAAGCTTATTTAAACTGTTTAACTTGTCTTTATTAAAAGACAAGTAGATTCATCTTCCTTGCCTTTTCCAGCTCCAATACAATCAAATATGTTATCAACTATTCCCCTTCTGCACACATCAATGAATAAGCAAATGAATTTATCTCTATTATTGGTTAGAGAATTCCCTCCTCCTCTATTAATAGAGATCAATTACAAAATGTTGCATTGTTAATACTGTGATTTTACTTGCAGGCAGATAGTTCTCTAAGCACTCAGAGTGTAGATCTCAAGGTCAGCCTTAAATTGAATCAAAACAATCCATAGATAGTAACAATATAGTGCTCTCCTTGTATCTGCCACTGGTCCTAACTCCAAACCAAATAAGGTGAAATGATAATCTCTATTGCTACCAATATCCTGTCTTCCAGATGCAGTTACATCTTCAGAACTCACAGATTACAGGCCTACGTAACAAGAAAGAGGGACAAAATTCACTTGAAAACACTCAGTCATCACCGTCTTATCTGGATTAAGCTTTAACCAAATTCCAGTCTCAAGCAAATACTGAAAAAAAAACCTGCAAATGCACTATCAACTATCAAAGATATAATCTAAACGGTAAAGAAATAGCTCTATAGCTCTAACAACCTCCACTTTCAATTCAAAGGACCCCTTAAGACAGAACTCTAAGCAATGCATGACACGTTCTAGACATGTGCCATCACCATTCTGTGGTCACTGGCATCAAAGACCAGGAGCTGAGCAAATATGCATATATACATTCCTGGTATTATTCCACTGTTAAAAACATAAATTAAAGATGAATCATTATAAGGGTCTTCATCTTAGCAGGAAAAAGCATTACAACTGCAATAATTACAGAACACCACAACTTCTAAGTGCTAGTTTTCAAAATCAGCTTTCACGGTAATAGTTGATATAGTCAGAAAATGCAGTGCTTTCCTTCAATAAATTTATCCTATAAGAACACATTCCTGAAAGCAAAAAGCGGCAGGGCTGTTCCTATAGATACAATTAACTGAAGCTAAGCACATACTCAAAGAGTTTCCACAATAAATTGCAATATAATATTTCATTACAGTAATAACCTGAGAGGAATAGTATCTCTGCACCATGATTCTCAAAATTGCACTCAGAATACATTCCATTAGGCAAAAAATCATAACATTATTCAAATAAACCACATATACTTTAGCTCATTCAAGACTTATAACGTGAGAATATTTTCAATTAAACTGATTTTTCTTCATATTTACTGTTATCTTTAATACTTTGCTGTAGTTAACAGAAGTGGCCAGCAGAGGGTACCAATTAACCATGATGATTTCCATCACTACAGGAACCCTAATAACAATAGAAAGAATGAAAAGTAGAAATAAGTATATTCTGACTCGGGATAGTTTTGATTTGTTCCTTCAGACGTGGTTAGGTAACTTTTATATGCAAAAGGTAATCAAGAAAGTATATCTATTATGTTACCTGATATTCAGATGCTGAATTAAAGTTTAATCTCAATAATAAAATCTACCCAGAAAACTATGACTTGTATTTAATTTTCTAAAGTAAAAAGAAGACATCGGAATGGTCATACAAATTAACATTTTAAGGCAGCAGTAATGCATGTCTGTATGGGGGAAGACAGAAGAAAGGGTTTAAATCCATTTTCCTAGACAGGCTGCTAAGAATGCACGTAAGCAAAACCCTGCTTCACAATGCTCCATTTGAATTTGAGCTGTTACTCACAGTTCTTCTGCTCTCTGTGAGATCGGCTCTTCTTTTTTGTTCTGTAGCTCAGTCTTGTAGGCAAGTATACGAGCATTGCAAACCATCAGGTTTTTAACCGCCTGCAAGAGTTGGTCTTTCTGTGTGCTCACTGCAAGTAGTTTACAGATGCCTTCTCGCATGCGGATTTCAAAGTTTATCTTCTCTTGGATGTCGCATTCCTAAATATGCAAAAAACAAAGGACTAAACAAAAATCCAACTAACAATATCCTGATTTTTAACGAGCTCTATTTATTTCACAGTTGGGACAGAAAACCCTAGGTATTAATCATATGCAGCTATTAAAATAGTTACTAAATGTAAAATGGTGGTTCTCTCTTCAGGAGCAGAAGAGTAAAAGACAGGATGTAGCAGGTTCACTATATCCATTGTACATGCAAATTCCAAACCAGGTAGTAGTATTAACTCAGCATAGCACCTGAAAGTTACTAAAAATTTACATGGCTCAATGTGTTATTCGAAGGATAATAACATATGGTCCCTTGATATGGTCACTGAGAAGCCTAACTGAACAAAGCAAATTAACAAAACAAATTAACATCCCACTTCTTACAGTGATCCCTACTAAAATAAACTCCTAAACTCAGGAAAATATCTGAAATATTTTAAATCAGAAATTCGATCCCATTACTCTGGAGCAGGTCCAGAGAAGGGCAACGAACCTGTTGAGGGGTCTGGAGCTCAAGTCTTATGAGGAGAGGCTGAGGGAGCTGGGGGCGTTCAGCCTGGAGAAAAGGAGGCTGAGGGGAGACCTCTGCGCTCTCTACAACTCCCTGAAAGGAGGTTGTAGAGAGGTGGGCATCGGTCTCTTCTCCCAAGTCACAGGTGACAGGACTAGAGGAAATGGCCTCAATTTGCGCCAGGGGAGGTTCAGGTTGGATATTAGGAATAAATTTTTACACTGAAAGGGTTAAGCATTGGAATGGGCTGCCCAGCGAGGTCGTTGAGGCACCATCCCTAGAGGTATTTAAAAGATGGGTTGACCATAGCGATTAGTGACATGGCTTAGTGATGGTTTTTTATCAGGGTTAGGTTGATGGTTGGACTAGATGATCTTGAAGGTCCCTTCCAACCTACACAATTCCATGATTCTATCACTCGGTATGTAACTATGGTGAGGAAATAAACTCTCCTAGTTTAGAGTATCAGTATTGGGACTTTCAGAACTACACAAAAGATTTAGTCCATGCTATATCTCAGCCACACACACATAAAATATCCTGGACTAGCATTAAATGGTTGCTAGGCCTTAGCTTAAATAATGACACCATAGAAGTCTCATCTGAAGGAATGACTTGGCAGCCTAATTTGGAAGGTATGAAGTTCTCCATGCCTACCAAAAAAAATTGGTCAGCTTTTTTTTTTTTCTTTTTTTTTTTTTTTCCTTTTTCAGTTCCTCCTAAAAATAGGAGCTCACCATCTGGGCTCGGAGGAATGACACAGCACTGTTTGGCCATATGCTATCTACCAACGCACCGTTTCCCTTGCGGTCTCCCTCCATCCTTCCCCCACCAGCTGCAGCACAGCCCAGGCATGATTACTGTGATTACTAACAGCTGTTGAGATTTTCAGCCCCATACTTGGGGAGTGCCCAAGCGACACTTTGAGAGTCTCTGTATTCCCCAGCAAAGCACACCTAGGAATATACAAAGTTTTAGAGGATTTCTAGTTTTATGTAGGTGATGGAGTCAGAAAACAAATAAAGAAAAAAGTCCAACAGCTAAGAAAAAGGAACTGAATATTGCTGAAGGCAGGGCAAATGGAAATGCTAGTTAACAGCTATCTTAAATACAGGCTTTCGGAATCTTATTCAAAGGTACGCTTTTGATTTATCACCACAGAATCTTCTAGGTTGGAAGGGACCTTAAAGATCACCTTGTCCAACCGTCAACCTAATTTTGACAAAAATAAACACCCACACAACAAACAAAAAAGCAACACCATCACTAAACCATATCTCCCAGCACTTAATCAACACGTCTTTTGAACAACTCCAGGGATGGTGCCTCAACACCTCCCTGGGCAGCCCATTCCAACGACTGATAACCCTTTTGGTGTAAAAAATTTTCCTAATATCCAGCCTGAACTTCCCCTGGCGTAACTTGAGGCCATTTCCTCTAGTCCTGTCACCTGTGACTTGGGAGAAGAGACCAACCCCCAACTCGCTACAGTCTCCTCTCAGGTAGTTGTAGAGAGTGATAAGGTCTCCCCTCAGCCTCCTTTTCTCCAGGCTGAACAACCCCAGCTCCCTCAGCCTCTCCTCAGAAGATTTGTGCTCCAGACCCCTCACCGTCTTTGTTGCTCTTCTCTGGACCCGCTCCAGCACGCCGCAGGTCTGCTAAATTTATTTGAAATACGCAAGTAGTGGGGCAGCGAGTGGTGTTCTAGAGCAGAGGCTGTGAAGCCAAGGCAGGAGCCCGGGGGCCTCCCTACCTGGACACCGGGACGAGCGTTAGTTGCCATTGACAGCCACAGTTTCACAGGCACAGCCGCGCTCAATTAATCCAGGCTTTTAAAAACCCCACTAATAGGAAAATCAATGGCTAAAGGATAAAAGAGCTCCCTCCGTCCCGCCAAGCGGGCTGCCGCCGGTCCCGGTCCCCAGCCCCAGGGACAGCCCGCGGCCTGAGGGGACACGCCGAGCTCGGGGTGCCGGGGCCCGCCACACCGCCGCCCGCTCCCAGCCGTTAACGGACGGCACCGGCGGCGGAGCAACGCCGGTCCGCGGGCAGGCGGGAGGCTTCCCCAACCCGGCGTCCCCGCCCCACACCGCCTCCCCGCCCGCGGCTCACCGGCTCCTGGCCGCCGGCCCCCGGCAGACACCGCCGCATCCTCCTCACCACCGCCGCCGCCGTTCAAAACTCCCGCCCCCCCCACGCGCCCCGGCAACGGCCGCTCGGGGACGTCCGCGCTTTGCGGCACCCGCCGGCTCCGGCTGCCCTCGCGCGACAGTAGCGCGACAGGCGGGTGGTGATGGAGGAGGAGGGATGGCGGGCAGCGCCGCCGGGACCACGGGTCTGATAGTACCGATAGATGGGCCAAAACGCGTTATTCACCCCCTGCCGTTCAGCTGGAACGGCGCTGGGCAATAAATTAGAAGACAAGGCCTTTCTTGGCTCCCCGTTTCGCCGTTCCTGGGTAGTTTACTCCTCTGGAGCGGGCCGGCGCCGCTGCCTGCTGCTCAATGTTCTTTAAACGACGCGGAGCCGCGAATTCTTAACCCTGCTCTTGGCTTTCTGCACCTCACTGAATTACACAGCTTTAACACGACGCAGTAGCTGTGCTAGGAGCGGGCACTGCCCCGAGTATATTACACTATTCTGTACGAAAAGTGCATTAATTACTCCTTGGGCCGAGTGTAGGGGAACGGGAGCCATCTCTCAGCCCTCCGTAGCCTTCAGCAGGTGCAACAAGGAGCCAGAAGAGTGACTGCCATCCTCCCTGGCCTCCTGGCGACCCTCCCCGAGTCCCTCCGCAGCGGGTGATGGTCACCGGCACCGAGCCTCGCCGCTTCCCACACAGCTGTCAGCGTTTGCCAGAAGGAAAATGTGCCGGAACAAGCCAGACATACAGTGTTGCTAACAGCTTTCTACAGAAGACAGAAGTCTCCTGGCTGACATATGCTTATTTAAAATACAAGAAAGTGCAGTTAGAAGGGAAAATTTGAAAAGCCTCGTTGCTTCATCAGGATTCCACAGAGGTGCCTGGCAGCTGTTTGTCCTGACACTTACACCTGGGGCACAAACGCAGGGGGCTAGCCTTCAAGGAAAATAATGAACTTCCGGACCAAAGGTATGTATTCCTTGGTGGAAGGCAGAGGACAGGGAGCTCTGCTTCCCTCCAAAGTGCTCGAGTCTCCCTCCAAGGCAGAGACAGCAACAGCAGCTGTTCAGTTCCTGTCTCCATCATGGTCCGTGTTCCTGAGGCTAAGGAGTTGGTCCCTTCCAACTCTAAAAATTCAGTGAAATTCAGTGAGGGATTCAGGTATTCATGAAATACCTTCATACCTTCCTGAAGTTGTCTGCATACCACTGGCAGGACACATGCCACAACTGGGAAGCCCTACCCTAGGTTATATAGATACTACGTTTTCCCCCCGTTTTTAGATACTCCTCCTGTTCTTTAGCTACTGCAACTTTCTCAAAAGAAGGTTTTCTGCACTATGTCCAGCAGAGAAATCTCATCAGGGAGCCAAAAGGATTTTGCTTAATCAAGGCACAGCCCTTAATAAGCTGCGCATGGACACCCAAGATACATAAGAGAGGGTTTGAGGAGATAGAAAGGAAAATCTCCATGTAATCCTGGTGCTTTATGCTTCTAACTGGAAGCCTTGCGTTCCCATCTCAGCTACAGAATTTAGGATTTCAGACACATCAAGAGAGACCCATCAAAAGAGGGGAGAACATGAGATGCCAAATCAGAGTGCCATTTTCCTTCATGGTAGGCATATCTCTTAAGGTGTGGCCTGGCCTCTCCTGAATCATTCAGGGATGGGATTTGAGCCTCAAAAATCTCCAAGTAATTCTGTGGGCTACAGAGGAAAACTAGAAACAGGAACATATCATGGAGAGACTATTCCTGAAACCAAACAAGTGAAAGTCTCAAGTTAACTGAACTGCATTATTTTTGAATCAATGCTTGACCAAAGTAAGCGAGGAGGAGCTCCAGTCTCAACAAATATCAATGTCTGATGAGTTTTATGTAAACTATGGGAGCAGCTGGAAATGATAGCCTTACCTAAGAGATAAATAAGGAAAGGATCAGTGTCATTCTGCCTTACCAAGAACTCATTCACCAACTCACAAGATAGTGTGCTACCACAGAAAACTAATACAACATGTAAAAATGACGCACTGAGACACTTTCCACCCAGCACCATTCCAAGCATTCCAGGGTAGACTCTAGAACAAACCCACGGGTTCAAATTTACCAGAAATGTTCCCTGCAAGACTACTGAGAAGAGGCGTCTCAGGTATGCACCAAAAGGGTTTTGTCAAAAGCCAGGGTGACAACACAGATGCAATAAAAATCACTGCAAAAGGACAAGTTATGCCCCAGCCTATTTCAGGCAATCAGCATCTCTAAAGCCATTTTTGCTGGTGGTGTAGACAGCTCCCAGGAATCCATGGCAGCTTTCCAAGAATTTTAGATGCT